CTTCCCTCTTAATAGACATGTTGCCCATGGTGATTAAATGCACCACTTCTCAGGAGGTTTGATGCATAGTTGAAAGTGGCCTTGTTTCCCCCTCTAGGACCCAAATAATGACCCCCCACCATGCCTTGCAATGCCTTAAGCAAGAGCACCGTGAGTCAATCTCCACTTTCCTCCAACGTGCTAAATCCATAAGTGATGAATTGACAAAAACTGATCAGCCTCTTTCTTTGATCGACTTCAACCTCTACATCTTCAACGGCCTCTCTGGTGACTTCAAGGATATTATCACCACCCTATCCATAATCCTGAACCTGTAATGTTTATTGACCTCCATAGTTTCTTAGTTAGTCATGAGTTTGTACTCCTTGATTCAGATATAGCATCCCCACCATGGACAGAACTACTATCCACGCCCCCTACTACCCTACTGCCCACACCTCCTATAGCCCACATGGCAACTAGGGGCTCGAGGTATCAACCACCTGGTGACTGTTATGGTGGCTTCAATCATAGCTATGGTAGACAGATCAGAGGTAGAGGGCGTGGCTGCTCTAACTCTAGGTATGGCAACTCCTTCTACTCTGATAACAGAGGCTACTAGAACCAGTATAACACCGGCACCAAATGCCAACTCTGACACTCCTGGAACCATACTGTTGTTCAATGCCCACAGCACCAAACAGGACAACAGCAGCCGACAACTAACCTTATAGCCTCCTCCTCCCCATAGTCATGCTCACATACCTAGTGCCATGACGTTGGTGCCTCCCACCATCTGACTCTTGAATTGACAAGCTTCAGCACATACGAGCCATACATGAGTAATGACCAACTTCAGGTTGGCAATAATGAGTTTTTACCCATTTTGCATATTAGTCCAAGTCATATAAAAACTCTTGTTAAAAATCTTGATGTGTTACATGCCCCACAAATAACCCGACCTTTGTTATCTATTAAACACCTTGCTAAACATAATGACTTGTTTTAGGAATTTCACCCTTCCATGTTTTGTGTTAAGGATTAGGTACACAAGACCAAAATTCTTTCAAGCAAGAGTGATGTTGATCTCTATTCCCTCCATGCTCCATCTTTCAATTCTAGTCCTACAACTCTTTCAACAAAAGTCTATAAATGTTTGGCATTCCAAAATGGGCCATTCTCACCACCGAGTACTAAAATTTCTTTTAAAACAAGATTCTTTATCAAATTCTTTAAAATTATACAGTCAATACTTGTCTTGTACGTTAGGAAAATCTAGTTGCTTATCACTTGCTTTTATCAAACACTTTAAGCACTAGTATTTTGGATTTGATTTTCGGTGATGTTTGGGGACCTTCCCTTATTATTTATGTTGATGATTTTAAATATTATGTTATTTTTGTTGATCACTTCTCTAAATATATGTGGTTTTATCCTTTATGTAAAAAATCAAATGCTTATAATGTGTTTATTCAATTTCAAAACCTGGTTGAATGTCAATTTAATTAAAAATTAAACAAGTCCAAACTCGATTAGAGTAGAAAATTTCGAGGACTAAATAATTTTTTATAAAATATTAGAATTGCCCACCGCATCATGTGTCCTCACATAAATTAGCAAAATAGTACCGTAAAGAGAAGACATCGTTATGTTATGGAAACAAGCCATAGTCTCTTAGCGAGAGGCTCACGTTCCTAAATAATATTAGACCTATGCTTTTGAAACTACTATTTTCCTAATTAACAAAATGCCTTCTCTTGTCACTAAATATAAATCACCGTTTGAACTTGTTTTTCAAAAAAGCCCAGATTACTCTTTTCTAAAAATGTTAGGTTATCTCTACTTTTCATATCTAAGGCCTTATAACAATCATAAAATTAATTTTTAATTCGTGTATTTTTTGGGCTACGGCCCATCATATATGGGCTATCGTTGTTTTGACAAAACTAAGAATCGTTTTTACATAGCCCATCATATGCGTTTTGTTGAGTCAATTTTCCTGTTTGTACAAAATGAATTTTTTGTCAAAAATCTCACTCCATCTAATGTTTCAACTTCATGGCTCGGTGTCCTTATTCGGCCCATTCCATCTCTCCATACAAGTTAGCAATCACTCATTTGCCTTTATAATACAACCACATCTAAGCCCAATTCCAAACACTCCCATGGACGACCCACATCCAAGCAACACCATGATAGCCTAAACACCTACCTCGCCTCCCATCATCCACAAAACCAATAGCTCACTTTGCCAATCCCCAAGCCCGATTCGATCTTCCACCACACCAAGTTTAAATTTACTATTAGATTTCAGCAAGTATAACTTGACTAATCAATATGTAGGTAGTGGCAATAATTCATTATCCAAATTGAAAACCAAATGGACCCACCCTATGGTCTTGTGGCATATGAGCCTAAAAGCTTCCCTTACGGTAACTCCCTCGACTATCCCAAAAAGCCCATATTGCTATATTGAAGCTAAAAACTATGCTACATGGAGACTAGCAAAGGAGTCTAAGCTCGATGCTCTGCTAAAAATTGACACTTGGTCCCTTATCCCTCCCACACCATCAATGAGTATTGTAGGGAATAAATGGTTCTTTAAAAAAAAAACATGCGATTGAGAGCATCAAACGGCATAAGGCAAGGCTAATTGCCGAGGGTTATCAAACAACGAGAAAGGAATCGACTTTGGGAAAACTTTCGGTCCGGTGGTCAAGCCCACGACCATTAGAGTTATCCTGTCCTTAGCAATCTCCCATGATTGGCTCATCAAACAACTAGATGTGCACTTGTATTTCTAAATGGCACACTCCATGAAGTAGTTTATATGGCCCAACCAAGAGGCTTTGTTAATGCCCAATTCCCTAACTATGTTTGTAAACTCCATAAGTCTCTTTATGGCCTCGAAGTAGTCCTCGTGGGCTCGGTTCTTATGTCTTCAAGAATTTCTCATGAAATTTGACTTTGAGGGTTCCAAACCATATTCTTCTCTGTTTATCTATAAGGCTAACAATTGTAGAGTCTTTTTGTCTGGTTTATGTCGATAACATCCTTATCACTAGTAATAATTCAGATTTTCTACAAACAATAATCTATGCCATGAACTCTAAATTTGCCACACGAGATCTTGGTGATATTAGCTTCTTTTTGGGTGTGGAGGTGATCAAAACATCAACGGGTATTATCTTTTCTCAACAAAAATATATAAATGACCTTTTTGCCAAATAGGGAATGCTCGACTGCCGACCCATCACCACACCTATGCCAACCATGTTAAAACTAAAAAAATGGGAAAATCGAATTATTTTTAGATTAGACCTCGCATCGACGGAGTTGTGGGTGCTCTCCGGTATGCTACACTCGCTAGGTCAAATATTACACATGTTATGAATAAAATATGTCAATTCATGCATCAACCTACTTTAGACCAATATGTAGTTGTGAAATGTATTTTTTGATACCTAAAGCACACCTATACTTATGGTTTGCACATTCGGAGGTCTAACTCTTAACTCCTCAAAGGTTTCTCTAATTCGGATTGGGCGGGTTCTTTAGATGACGGGAAGTCTACGAGAGGGTTATGCGAGTCTACTTATGGTCGAATTTGATTACTTGGAGGTCTTCCAAACAGAAAACAATGGCACGAAGTTCTACCGAGGTCGAGTATAAAGTTATGGCCAACCTAGCAACTAAATTAACTTGGGTCATGTCCTTATTGGGTGAACTTGATGTTACACCTGTCCCCAAACCGATTATTTGGTGTGACAATATTGGAGTCACTTATTTGGTTGTGAACCACTGTCTTCCACGCACAAACCAAACACGTGAAAATCGATTTTCACTTCGTCAAAGACATGGTTGCAAAGGAGAACTTGCAAGTAGAGTTCATTTCTACACGGGATCAAATTACGGTAGTTTAACTAAATCTCTCGTCTAGTGCACGCTTTAAATTCTTACGAGACAAACTTACTATTGGAAACCATTTACGGTTAGTTTGTGGGAGAGTATTAAGACAGAGTTCTATTAAGAAACCTATGGAAGAGATAAAAGCTGTTACAATTTGATAGTTATAAGGATTCTATCCGGTTACAAGAATTCCTATCTACTATTATAGGGATTCTTATCTATTGTATTACTTAGAGTTCTATTTACGGTATACTTGTAAACATATAAAGGATATGTTAAAGTACCAGTAAAATACAATGGTAAAACACTTCTTCGACATCCGAAACTCATGACTCAATTCGGAGGAGATTTTTTTAGATAAAAGAATAGTGTGATATGAATTTAAAAAAAAAAAGTGTGAGAAAATATAGGATAACCTATTTATGTTTCAATTTTTTTTTAAAAAAAAATCTCTATAAGAATTTGGTGGTCTTAATCACCAATTAGACCTTAGCAAAGTAGAGGCTGTTCAAGCAAAGCTTGCACAACAACAAATCAAATCTAAGCTGGCAATTATAGGTGACAGCAATGACCTTGGATAGACGTACCAAATCCAATTCTATTGCCCAACTTTCTTTCGATAAATTCTATGAATTGCTCCCTTGGCATTTGACCAGCCAATGTCACCATTGGAATTCAAAGATTGCATGGTCTTTCGTCTCCAGTATAGCTCTTTGATCCAGAGAGATTTCCCGCGACTTCGGCCACCCTGCCAAACCTAGTACAGATTAACACTAGCCAGGAATGATTAGCTTCAATTCCAGCATTATTATTTCCTATTCTACACCTTCCAATTTGGACTATCAAGCTGATCAAAGCATGCAATTCCTTGAAGAATAAGAATAAAGAACCTCCCTCGTCGCTTCCTAGCTAAGCACTGATCTCACCCATTAGTCTCACGTTTGTGTTGAATGGTTTGCATGCACAAATTTCCAGTCAAAGAAGCCTTATCCCACAAGCTACTTAACCCTATAAATAGCACATGCATGGACTCCTCCTCCATAACCCCATTATCTCATACACTTCCTTAGTTTCCTGCTTACAGTACTTGTTTATTTTCGACAATAGTTAACATGGCAGTTACCATGATCAAATCTCTCAGCTTCTTTGCCATTATTTTGATGGTAAATTCCCTTTTATTCATTGATACTACTGAAGCTCGTCCTTTCAACATCATGAAGTCAAGAAACTCTGCTGCTAGCAGAGCTATTGAGAGTTTCTTTGATGGGTTATCACTTGGAGAAATCAAGCAATCAGGCCAAAGTCCTGGCGTTGGACATGGGTTTACCAACAGTGAGACACTTGGAGGAAAGAAGGCTGGTCCTAGCCCTTGCTGTGGAAACAAGTATACTACCGGCACCCATCATTGAATCTTATTTGAGGCATCTTTAGTTACTTAATTAATATACAGATATATGTTCCTTTTTCATTATTTATACTTATTATTAATGGTCATGTAATGCAGTTTTTATAAAATTAGAGTTACTAAAAGGTCAAATTACTAATGCTGAGAATCTCTGCAGTAATATTTTGAATAATTCTGTTCCTTAGTTTTAATTCAAGTCAGACAATTTATTAGCTTAATTTGGTGTCTCCAATTATTTATTATTATTGTTTTTTTAACAATGGTGTCTCCAATTATATATGCAGTGTGCAGTGATCATTCCTTGATATACAAGCTGGTTTGAAAATATTTTTTACTATCGAATAATAAAAAGTATCCAAAATTCAACTCTCGATCAAACCGAAGTACGTAGGCAATAGAAAAAAATAGGCTGAATATATCCCCATAAGTTCAGATTAAATTCCATATAATCGTAACCGTTCTTAGAAATACCTTAAGTTTTGGCTTCAATATAAGTGCGGTGGAGATTTTTTTTTTTTTTTTTTTAAAGAATAGTGCGATATGAGTTTAAAAAAAAAAAAAAAACAATTGTGAGAAAATATAGGATAACCTATTTATATTTTCATTTTTTTAAAAAAAAAAATCTCTATAAGAATTTGGTGATCTTAATCTTGTAGTCTTGTCTGTTCCCTTTTTTTTTTCTTTTTCTTTTTCTTTTTTGATGTAGTTAGTTAGCTTAGAAACAGTGTAGGTTTATTTTAGACCGAATTACCAATAAAATCATTCAGTTTCATTAAAAAGAGATCGAATTTCATGATAAAAAAAAATAAAAATAGAAAAGGTCAAATTTAAATTAGAACAGAAGCCATCAGTTGAAAATTGAGCTCATCCGATGCAATTGAAAATAGCAGTAACCTACAGTCTTAGTTGTAAACTTGTAATTAAATCTGATATTAATTCTAACTACTACACCTAATTAGCAGCAAACTATTTATGATTTGGTAAACAAAAGTAATTAAAAATTCACTAAAACATGGTTGAAAAATATTCTACATAATCAATAAAAATAAATAAAGAATATATTCACACCACTAACAAATGAGCAGTGGAATGGTGACTTATCGTTCTTAAGTCTCTATCATTGTCCGGAGCAAACCTATTTGACAACCAAGACAAACCCTACAGATTTAAGAAGTAGTTCTCTCTTAACATCTAAATTCCACTTCCTCTCCCTTTACAAGATTTGAACTTAATGTTATGAAACAGATCAACGAAAAAAAAAAAATATATATAGATATATAAAAATAAAAATAATCACATAACATAAAGATTTATATAATTTGATAATTATGTCTACTCTACAACTGCATTAACAATTTTTAAATTTTATCAAGTGAGAGCTTAAAAATAACAAGACCGCCTTATATCTAACGCTCTCAACAGTGAGTCACGTTCACAGTAGTTATGATATAAAATTGCAAATCCAGGTTTTGAAATATAAAGTTAAACACCATATTGGCTTCTTTAGCATTAGATATGAAGTGTCCAGTCTACGCAATGCCATTTATGAAATACCTCAGTTGTAGCTAACTCTAGACTTTGCAGGGTATACAATAAGAAATATACCTATAGATTGTTACTATTTCCTAAGAACTTACAGTGTCTATGACTCTGGAATCTAGATGCAATGTTATGGGACCAGATTCTTGAATATAAGTGAAGGAATATAAGATGGGACGAAAAGCAAGAAAACAAACATTGGTGATGTTTAAGTAGAAAGCAAGCAATATAAAAGTGAATTAAGCTTCATTTCTTTAATTTTTCTCTCTTGGCAAGCAAGCATATATTCCTAGTTAAAAAAGCTTTTAATTAAACTTTTAAGATTAATTGCTCAATATATATTTATATAAATAAGATGATTTAAAAAAATATATATTTTTTTAATTGAACTAAGTTTATGTTTGAATATACATTAAGTTTTCATGTATTATTTTATCAAGATTTTAAAGTTAAATCACCATAATTATTTACGTAATTTATAGATGACTAATTTTTAATATCAAAATATCATTATAAGTCAGTCCAATAAAAAGTTTTCATATATAAATTGTATGACTAATTTTAAAATTTTAGTTTAAAAATCTTATAAAAAAAGACAAGATTGATTTAATTAAAAAATACTAAAATAAATTGAAAATTTACTTATTATGTAAATACAATTGAGTCATCGTTAACCCAACTTTTTAATCACACATCTTTACGTTTTGTCTGTTGTTGCTAAGATATCTTCTAAAATACATGTGGCAATGCAAGGGAATAATCTTTAGCCTCTCTATGTTGATAGGCCCACTTTGTGTCCCCCTCCTTTTTTCCTGCGGTTTAAATTATCTTCATGAGCTAGCACAGATGATGGATTTATGTTCTGCAGCTTTGAAGAGAGCTACATTTCTGGCCAGGATTGGACCTTATGGAAACTATAATATTTTCTTACGTTCTCATTATAGTCCCCACGTTCTTCACTCTTAGTGGTAAAATGTTCATTTTCTATTCTTCTAACCTTTTTGTTTCTATGTTTTTCATGTCTTCTGGTTTGTGCTTATTCACTTGTATTTTCAAATTTCCTTCATGCATGCCCATAATTTTGTTGTTGCAGATGCAAGATTTCCTATGCCATTGTTGGAGAAACCCAAAGTGTCGAATCAAGTGAAGATTGATCAACTATCAAAGCCGAATGCTGACCTAGAATATGGCACAAGTTCTCCTTCGTCTCTCCCACCCTTAGAATCTTGGTCACCACATGCCTTGCCAGGGAGCTCTCCTCCTTTTAGTATAAACCCACCAATGGGCCTACCATCTCCGATAGGCCACACACCATCAGGCTCTCCACCACCCTTTGCACCCATTTTACCTACCCAAAACCCTCCTCCAGGCCACACACCATCAGGCTCTCCACCACCCTTTGCACCCATTTTACCTACCCAAAACCCTCCTCCAGGCCCACCTTATAACTTCGCCAGCCCGCCTACTAACACACCTACTCCGAAATCCCCTCCTAGCCCACCGAAACGCTTTCCAAGCCCACCGGGCTATCAACCGCCAATGGCTTTGACCCCACCCGCGGCGGTGTCGCCGCCACATAAAAGCCCACAATATGCTGTTTGGTGTGTGGCAAAGCCAACCGTGCCTGATTCAATTCTCCAAGAGGCCTTGGACTATGCTTGCGGGTCGGGTGCCGATTGCAAATCAATTCAGCCCAATGGGTCTTGCTTTCAGCCCAACACTTTGGTTTCTCATGCTTCGTATGCTTTCAATAGTTACTGGCAGAAAACAAAGAACGGAGGGGGTACTTGTGATTTTGGTGGGACTGCCATGCTTGTCACCATTGATCCAAGTAAGTATAACATAATTTCAGAGTAAATTATAATTTATAGAGACTAATTAATTAGTTATTGATAATAGAAAAACTATTTAATTCCTTTTGAAAAATAGAAGGATTAATTTATAATTTACTTCACAGTTTCAAGGAGGAGAAGAAATGCTACTGATGATATATATATATATATATATATATATATATTTTGATGATAGTGGTAATAATAATTATTTAATTTCTTTATGATTGCTGCAGGTTTCAATCGCTGCAACTTCGTCAACAATTGAGCACCAAAGATGCAGACACTTTCATGGACCAACCAGTTCAGTTCACTTTGTTGCCAGCAATTTAGTTAAAAATACAATACTTTTTGTTAGAAAATTAATATTCTTGTTGGATTTATAGGGTTTTAGCCATCAGAGTTAAAACATGTTGTTGTGATCTATCTTCTCTGGTTGCTTCACGTTCTGTATATGAAAATTCTATACCTTTTGCATATATGTATTCATACTGTAGAGAAATTTAATTTCATTTGCTTATGAAAAAAAGAAAAACAAAACAAAACAAAACAAAACAAAAAAACAAAAGAAAGAAAAAAAGAAACATGCTTAAGAAATTTCAACCTTGAAAATTTTCAGTCCTTTAGAAGACTTGTTGATCTGATCTTCTTGCAAATACTGTAGAGGAAAAAAAAAACAAACAAAAGGTAGTAATTGTTTTTAAAATTTACTGGAATCAATGACACATAAATTGAATAAGAAAGCAATCTTAAACTTTTTCTCAATAAAAAAATCAAGTCAACATCCAAAAACGCACTGGATGAATTCACTGGTGGAGTTGTCCTGGTGAGTCATGACTCTAGGTTGAGATCGCCTGTCTGTCAAGACGAAGAGAAGAGTGAAATTGGGTGGTGGAAGATGGAACAGTGGCTGACTTCCCAGGAACGTTAGAAGAGAACAAAGAAGAGCTACAAAGCCACATCAAGGCTGATGTTGATGATTGAGGTTGCAGTTAGGAAACTTGTTTTCTGCATCATTTTCTTTATACGAATTTGTTTGCAGTTGCTTTATTTGTATTAGACTAACACAAATGACATATCCTCCTTTCCTTGGAACATTCGAAGAGAAGAATGTCTGGTTTGAGTGACAAGGATTTCTGTTACATTTTTTAACATCATTTATTTCAATGATTGTGAATGTTGTCTAAACTTCTATTGATCAACTGTAGGAAACTGCTTCTTACAGTAAATAACAAGAAGAGGATGACAATGGCTGGTCACCTCTACAGAGAATTATAACTAGCATTAGCTGTTCAGGGAAAATTGATTTTTGAGTTAGAATTTGTTGGAGACTGTTCATGTACGTTATCTGCTCTGCTGAACATTTGATAAGGGTTGATCAATCTGATCTTCAACACTCTGAATCCCTAGGCAGCAAGGCATTACCCTTGACAAATAGGCAAAGTACATTCCTAGGCTGTGGAGATCCCAAAAAATATATTGTGCAGCTGTTCGGTTTTTCTTTTACTTAGTTTCTACGATGTAGATACATTCTTGTGACAACATTCAGGCAAAGTACCATTTGCCTGACATTTAATACACACCCCATGGATCCATTGAAAAGGCAGTCACCAAGGTTTACCTTTTTGATTGTGTACTCTGTCATTGAAAATCTTTTATGTTCGTGGTGATTGTTTTTCTGAAATTGCTATGTATTTAAATCTTCTACGTTGAAATTCTGATGTTTCCATTAGATTCCTCTGGCTTTCCTACTACATCACAGGGACGGCTATTCCCGACTATAGAATCAGCTTGTAATTGTCTCCAGCTTTTGGCCTAGTGGGAGCTGCTGTGCTATTTTAAGGCAGATTTTCTTGGCAGGCACTAATTGGACTATCTTTCTTAAAAGAGGATGACATAAAATGGTGTCCTTCGAAATGATTAAATGTTCTGATATTTATCATTGACGATATACAGATCAACAAGCTACTTATGGGTATATAGTGGAATATAAAGATGCCCTGATTAGAAGTCTTCAGGGGTTACATTACGCCTGCCCCAAATAAATTTGCTGTTGACATTGCAAGAAGCCATTAAACAAGTTGAGGACTAATTCAAGCTACAAATGTTATTCTCCTGAAGCTAGGAGCTGTTTTGTTTGCAATACTTCCCCAGGTACATGCCCTAATCATTCTCAAATCCATCAATGTAGCACACATTTCCACAAGGGAGCCATTTTCGTATCGGATAACGATACTTTTGATGAGGTAATTGCCTGAAATAATAAATTTGGACCAGAATTCTGAAACTATCTTAGTCCTGACAAGGTGCATTCTTTTTTCCATGCTGTTTGCAACACTTCCCCAGGTACATTTCCACAATGGAGCCATTTAAGTATCGAATATCGATACTTCTGATGTGCTCCTAGCCTGAAATAATAAGTATGAAGTGGAATTCTGCAACTAGCTTAGTCCTGGTAAGGTAAATTGTTTTTTTCCATGATGCAGGACTAACTAGGCTCTGATTGAAATTGGTGTTCCTTTCATGGTGCAATCTTGGTCAATTACATTAGTCTGTTTAGCCAAATGTATATTTTAAGATACTAACATCTGATTATATCTGCATCTAGCTTCTCAAATTCTGTTAACTTGAATGGAATTTTTACACTTACTGACTTCCATCTTGTTAAATATTGTCTTGGATCAGAATGCATCCGACCCATGTCTACAAGGCATCGGTGAAAGGGGTTAAAAATAGGCCTCATTTCAAGTATCCCCATGTGACAGATCTAGTTTTAATAGTGCGCAAAAACCTGGGAATCCCAAAATAGATACTGTCAGCATTATTTGCAGTGTGAATAAGTCTGTCTTCAAATTGCTCAATGATGATAGCAACGTAAATAAGAGTCAAAACTTGCGAAAGAAAAGGTAGCGGAGGCATGCTATGATCAAGAGAAGCAGGGGAAAATTGCCCGAATGTTGGTGGGAACGTAGTTTTAAATCAAACCGCAGACGTTGTTTAAAAAATGATAGATGTTATGACTGCTGGTTGCAACTTACTGCAATAGTAAAATAACGATTACAAATATTATAAAGCAGGTCGAATAACGATAATAGAATCTTTCAAAATCGTTATATAACGATCGTTACATTAAATCTACGGGTGGGAAGGCAAAGACATGATGTCTTTTTAAGAGAGGGAGTAGCCTGAAAGGCAAGGGAAGAGTTGAAATCTTCGTAGCTTAGCATGCAGGGTGTGGTGCACCCGGCCCGCCCAAGTTCAAAATAATTTATGAAACTATCCTTTGTATTATAAGATTTCTAAAGACACTCTTACAGAAGGGCCACCTCAAAAACTATAACTACACATTCTATTCCCCTCTTTCACAAAATCTCATTGTCTACACAAAGTGGTCCTTGCCCCACCACTTCCACATGAAGAACCTCTAACCACACGGTGTTTGACCCGGCAGTGTAGTGTTCCTGCTTGTGGGTCAAGTAAAATATTGGAAGTCAATATATAGTGGGCATATGCTCTTGATAATGGCTGGCATAACGCAAAAATATTGCGAAAGGGACTTGTGGTGTGGGATAGTAATGCTTGTCACTGTTGAATCACGGAAGGCAATTTTTTGTGGTCATGATGAATATGTACGCATACATATATTTTTCTGTTCTGTCAAACATGCAAACAAAGCCCATCAGGTTCCTCCAATTTTTGTCGGCTTATAATATTTTTCAGTTTGATATTTTTAAGAAATAAGAAATAAACAAGAAAAGTGCTGTAAAGGGTATCATCTTATGATCTAGGGAATGCCAGTAAAAGGAAAATGTTGGATTGGTAACTTTTTTAATCTCATTTTTAAACAATCAACAAAAATCATAATTTGCTTATAATGGAACTGATATTCCTTTTCCTTTTATTCGAATCATTTCTATGTGGAAATATAATAACTTTTTAAGTCAAATTAAGACAACTTCATCTCATATATTGTGAACAAACTAGGATGCTTGTAAGAGCTAGCACAAATTGGCACATGAATTGTTGAAATATTGTGATGACTGTCGGCAGGAGGATAGCTAAATCTCCCTGTTAATCAAGAACCATGTTCTTAGCCCACGATTGTTTACTTTTAGATACATAACAACAATCTCGAACCAGCAAACAAAAATGCCTAAATTATCAAGAAATTGACTTCTATGGTTTCTTGAATGAGCTTTAACCAACAAGACAAAGTACTAACATTAGATAATTGATAACCTCCAAATTCACTTGCATGCATTTGAGATAACATTATTGGTTGTTGGATGGAATCTAGTTGGAATTCTATCCATAAATCATGGTGGGTATTACTCTAGATTGTTAGGTTCTAGCCTTCTAGGGTTTTGGGGACCATAATATTTTGATAGATTGATGAACAAGGACAAGAAAAATGTTCATATTTGAGTACGGTTGGATGTGCAAGTAACATGAAATGTGACATTTGTATTGGGATCCAGCGGAAAGAGAAAAAGGAATATATAGTAGACAGAAAATTCAATCCGTGTGAGCTGTTTTCCCTTAATAAATATGATTCGTACTAATTAGCCTATTTTATTCTTAATCAACTTTTTCTTAAGCCACTTGAGTTAAGCCAATCATTTTCTCTGGTTTATGCATCTGTACTTCTGATTCATTATATTTTATTTTCTTCTAAAAAAAAAAAACAGTGCCATATCTGTTTTAGATATGCAGTAGTAATGGGTGTACATTTTAAATTAGCCTCTTTGTTTTTCAAAATAAGTTAAATAGTCCTTTTAGTTTTAATAACTAATTAATTATTTTTTATATTTTATATTTTTTAACATATTTGTAACTTAATTATTTTCATTCTTTATTTTTATTTTAATAAATAGGAAAAAATAAGTAAATATTAGGGATAAATACTAGAAAAATCTTATTAAAAAATCTTCTATCTAAAAATCCACAAATTTATTTTTAAATCTCTCAAACCCAAAATATTTTTCTTACTAAAAACACCTAATAATTAACACTAGTGTTAACTATTAGTTGTTTTGGTAAGAAAATATTATTTTGGGTTTGAGATATTTAAAAATAAATTTGTGGGTTTATTATTTAGTATAATGAAAAAAAAAGTCAAATATTAGTGTTTAAAAGTCAAGGAAAAAAAATCTTTCAAATGCAATAAAAATGAACTTGACTTAGTCATGAAAAAAAATAATAAATACCAAACTCATTAAAAACTATGAAACGAGTTTATTATTAGATAAAAACTATATATATATATATATATATAAGCACTAAAAAAATTTCTATCTAAAAAATTCATCAATTTATTTTTTAAATCTCTCAAA